ACAGACTAGACATACACACATACAGACAGACACACAGACAGACAGACACACAGACAGAACACACAAACATACACACACACAGACATACAGACAAACACACACACACAAACAGACAGACAGACAGACATACACTACAGACATACATACAGACAGACAGACATACATACAAACACACATACATACATACATACATTTACATACATACATCAGACAAACATACATACATACAGACATACATACATACATAAGACAGACAGACAGACAGACAGAAGACAGACAGACATACATACAGACATACATACAGACAGACAGACAGACATACAGACAGACAGACAGAATAACATACAGACAGACAGACAGACAGACAATACAGACTACATACATACATACATACATACATACATACATACAACATACATACATACATAGGACAGACAGACAGACAGAAAATACATACATACATACATACATACATACAATACATACAACATACATACACGACAGACATACATACAACATACATACATACATACATACATAACATGACAGACAGACAGACAGAACAGACATACAGACAGACAGACAGACAGACAGAAAGACATACAGACATAACATACAGACAAGACAGACATACATACAAATACATACCTCTACAACATACATACATACATACATACATACAGACATACATACATACATACAGACATACATAATACATACATACAGACCACATACAGACATACATACATACAGACAAACATACATACACACATACATACATACATACATACAGACATACATACATACAGACATACAGACATACTAGACAGACAGACAGACAGACACAGACAATACATACATACCATAGATACAGACAGACATACATACATACATACATAACATACATAAATACAGACAGACATACATACATACAGGACAGACAGAACCTACAGACAGCCAGACATACATACATACAGACACACATACATACATAAACCAACCTACCTACAGACATACAGACATACAGACACACACACAGCAAGACAGACAGGACAGACAGACACACACACACAGACAGACACACACACAGACACACAGACAGACTACATAGACAGACATACATTACAGACAGACAGGACAGACATACATACATACATACACAGACAGACAGACACACACACAATACATACATACACACATACATACATACATACATACATACATACATACATACATACATACATACATACATACATACATACATACATACATACATACATACATACATACATACATACATACATACATACATACATACATACATACATACATACATACATACGACGTTTAATTATTTATATCACATATTAAACCTTTCAAACTCACACGGAGTCATAAAACAGCTGGAGTAGAGAATATAAAGACATAGTATTTGAAATAAGTGAGGTTTGTATTCTCTCGTGGTCTAGGTAGTGTTCATTTGCGTGTGTTGTGAATGTTCTTCTCACACACTCTACCTTACATAACTGGTACAAGCCGACACCGACGGAAGCGTACGAGACATAAGTTTATTGGCATATTATCACTTACAGTAGTGTCCAGTTGTTGTCCTAGTAAACAGCTCTCGCACACTAATTCACGCAGCCTTCAACATGCAGGTTCTTCATGCATTCCCTGACCAGAGTCGGCTCCAATAACTCAGGTTGAGTTTCTTGCCACTACACAGACTGGCCTGGTTGATCTTGACTTCACACTTTGTCGTCAGGGTCTCCTTTCGCAACAAACAATCCTACGTTGACATTCTTCCACTCAGTCTCACATCCTCTCGCTCCAACAGGTCGACACAAACTAAACTTGATCAGAATCAAGTCTGACTTATACCACGGGTTAGTTTCACGTGGCAAGAGTGGTGGTCCTTTACTTTCACGTGGCGACCTTCGGTCGCGTCGTCGTGATACACGTGATAACTAGTGGTCATCACCTATCTCAAGATCCTTGTTTAATCCGAGTATCTGGAACATCTCGGTGTTTTGGGTTAGCTTTGGGCCTTCCCCCCAACCTTCCTAATCTGGGTGAAAATATCCCTCCCCCGTATTAAAAAAAAAGTTCACTTTTTTTTCTCTCATTATCGTTAATGGGTAGGAGTATATTTTATGTAATGCTTGGGTATTTTCACTGGCATCAGAGTTAAAAATTATTCCACTCCTTTTGGGTAATTCATGTTTTTCCTTTGGAAATTTGTCAGTTGTCGTGCCTAGTGAGTATTAGGCGGCGTAATGGAATCAACACCCTTGGCAATACTCTCTCAATTGCGGAAGACCATAAAGGCTCTACGCGTTTCCCACCTCATCCCACAGTCTGTCAAACGACAGAAAATCACCCCAGGCACTACTCTTTCAAGTGCGGAAATCCATAACGGCTATGGAACAATAATGTAAATCCGTAAAGTCCCACTCTTGCCACTATACTCACTGAACATCCACAGATGTTTCCATTGGATATTCATTGTTTCCCCTTATAGGTGCTATGGATTTTATTTCCCCTACCTATAGTGATTTCCCACCGGTCTTTATTACATTTCCAATACTTATCTCCCTTTAAGTTTTCAAAAATATTATAACGTATTTCCTGGTATATTAATCACTTAACTTGCCTGTATACCTTTTCAATTGTCGAATGACATAATCACATGTTCAAAACATTAAATAATTTCATATTTCATCATCATAAATTTGCATATTCAATTCTAAAATATTTTGTTTACATTTTATAGCTAATACATTTTCATATTTAATTCTAAACTATTTAGTCTTGTCACTTATGTCTTTGTCCAGTATTCGTCACGATGACGTGATATACACAATTTATACATATACATACAATATACATATAAATCATATGTGTCGATCAACAATTACAAACCAAATATTTAAACATACATACTGGAACAGACTTATTATTCTATAACCTCGACATTACATCAAGCAGGCGATTGTTGATGCCTTTGATGTGTTGTATTTTGAATTTAAACTGCGCAATAAGTAGAGCCCATCTGTATACTCTAGCGTTATTTGTTGACTCCATGGTCATCAGTTTAGTTAGTCCTAAGTTGTCAGTTAAGATCGTGAATTCTTTACCCAATAAATACTTTTGAAATTTCTTCAGGCCCAGAACTAATGCTAATGCTTTTTACCCAAATGTGCTGTACTTCTGCTGTGTGGATGTTAATTTCTGTGACCAATATAAAACTGGAAGAAGAGTGTTTCTTTCTGTGCTAGCATTGCAGCTATGGTGTGTCCATTAGCATCTGTCTGTAGAAAAAAATGTTAACTTGGATCTGGCTGTCTCAGGATTGGGGGTGTTGAAAACAAATGTTTTATTTTTTCTAAAATTTTGTCATGACTTTCATTCCAATCCTTTTTCCTAAATTGTTCTGTTTTCAACAGTTCAGACAAGGGTGCAGTTAAAGCTGCTAGATTTAAAATAAATTTTCCATAATAATTCATTAACCCCAATAATGATTGCAATTGTTTTTGGTCTTAGGTTTTTCAATATTCACAATTTTTGATACAATGTTCTGATCAGTTTGGATTTTTCCTTCACAAACAATGTGACCTAAAAACTGTATTTTCGTAAAACAAAACTCAGGCTTCAGTGGGTTCACCGTCAGGTGCCATTTTTTCTAATGTTGCCAGATGTTCAGGTATTTCTTTCGTGTGGATGCAGATGTCATCCATGTAGGCAATTACGTGTTCCGACTCCCCCCCCCCCTCCTAATAGCTTTCAAATCATTTTGGTGAAGATTTTCGGGGCATTTAATATGCCAAAAGGAACCCTCAACCACTGTTTTAACCCCAAGGGTGTTTGGAAACTGGAATACTTACTGGCATTTGGGGTCATAGGGATTTGCAAATATCCTTTACAGAAATCTAATTTTGTAAAATATTTTGAATCATGTAACTGATGAATGGTATCATCAGTTGATGGTATAGGTTCTGCTTCAAGATAGGTGGCATCATTCAACTTCCTATAATCGACACACAGTCTCAAGTTACCATCTTTCTTTTTGACTATCACCATGGGCGAAGTATATTCAGAGTTGGAATCAGTGATTATACCATCTTTTTGGAGTTGTTTGAGCTCTTCAACAACTTTATCCATATAATGTATCGGTATGGTATAGTTTCTTGATTTCACAGGAACAGCTGAGTTCAACTGGATGTCATATTCTATTAAATTCGTTTTCCCAGGTTTACTCCCAAAAATCTTTGTGTACCTACAGATCACTTTTAAAATACTGCCCTTATCTTTTTGTGCAAGGCTTTCATTTATTTTAACTGACTTCCAGTTGTTCATTAACAAACAATGTATTTAAACGTGAAATGTGGAATGTTGAGTTTGCAAAACGTGAATGGTTGCTCTTTTTTCTAGTTTGCGCGTTGCCTACTGTGCAAGAAAGAATCTCCCTTTGTTTGCTACTTTGGGGCTCAATGGCTTGTAACACAGCAACGTTTTTATTCATCATGAAAATGGAGAATACCATCTAAAGTTCATGAGAGTATGTTTAAAAAGTTGTAAAGAAACTGGAAGTGTTGTTTCTTCCTTACATAAGTGATATCACACTCAGAGCAGGAATTTGACATAACGTGTTGACAGGTGTGGTTTTTTTTAATATTGGCTGTTGCCTCCAGAGGTTTGCCATTTAAAGAAGAAAATCAGAATATTGGGTCAACATAAAATGGCAAGTATAAATAAATGTCGTAAATGCTTTGTTAGAATGAGAAGTTCGTAGTAATTGTACACTGTGCCATCTAATATATTTGCATGTTTTACTAACGTTGAAATGCCAGTAAAATAAATATTTGCATAATATCATCTACAATTTACATTTCATTAATATGAGGTGTTCTCGTAGGGGCCCCAACACACTGGTTTGCCCGGGGCTCATAATGCTGAAAAGACTGAGTTGTACATATCCCTGTTTGCTTACTGTCTGTTAGATTTTCAAGGAGGCAGAAGCTTTCCTCGAGCTGTTGCAGACACAACACCGCAGTTTAAGGTGGTTCGAGCCACTAAACTCAACAGCATTGTCTTGGTCATTGATACCTCAGCAAGTATGGAGGTAAGAATTTAAATAGAACTTTGGTTTTTGGCGCCACTTTGTTACCGGGATACTCCCTCATGGGGAAAAAAAAAGAATGATTACACTGCACCTTATCAGGTATGTCGTAATATGCGAGTTTGTGCAGGGCTGGGTTTAGGATTTGGCCATCACATCCCCGAAAATACAGTAGCAACAGAAACAATTCAAGCGTGAAAAAAAAATGTAAAAGAGTTGTAAAGAATACTCAGACTTACTGATTAGTGATTTGAAAATCTACATCATTGCATACCGGGCATGCCAATAGGTGCTCTGTCTCCCGCAGCAAAGGTCCTAAGGTGTAGATGCAAACTGTTCCCTTAGCCCACTGATTACAAAGTCATCGTTCTGTTCCTCTCATACGTCCCTTCTTGCCTGATGCACACCAACTCTCTGATTTTATCTTTCCATCTTTGTTTTCCCAAGCTCTACGTGCATTTCTTCTATTGGTATATACCTTGTATTTCCTACACTTTATCATCATCATCTTCTTTATCGTTATCAAGTATGTGACCTGCCAGCCGGCGTAGGCACTCATGTCTCTCCACAGATCTCGGTCCTCAGTATTTGGAATCAATTCATGATATCGGTTTAGGCCGCCAGGTATCTTCTCTTTTGGTTTGCTCCTTTCTTCCTCACTTACATCAACATAAAATGGGTGATAGGGACGGGGGGGGGGGGGGGGGGAAAAAAGGGGGGGGGGAAGGGGGGGGCAAAAAAGGGGGAGGGGGGAGTTTAAGTGCCTTTTATATTGCCTTCCATAAGCTGGCCTTCATTGCTCTAAGGTTGTTTTCGATGCCGAAGGTCGATATGTTTTTTATTCTATAAATTTATGTCCCCCTTGCATTGTGTACATTATACGTGTTTGTTTTAAGTCTCTTTCTCTGTCTGTCTGTCTGTCTGTCTGTCTGTCTGTCTGTCTGTCTGTCTGTCTGTCTGTCTGTCTGTCTGTCTGTCTGTCTGTCTGTCTGTCTGTCTGTCTGTCTGTCTGTCTGTCTGTCTGTCTGTCTGTCTGTCTGTCTGTCTGTCTGTCTCTATCTCTGCGTCGGGTGGTAACAAGCTATTCTGGCCAGAGGACCAACCCTACAACCATCAAATGACACACATGATATGCGGAATTGAGGTCAGTCCGTGAGTTGTGTGTAATAACCATACATTAGCGACAACGTATGCTAGGTGTACCTAACGGCCTTTACCATTCTCAAATGTCCTTTATTTACTTCACTGACTATGGCGAGATATTTTTCTGTCCCATTTACTTGTTGAAATAATGTACCGCAATAATGTTTCAGGATTCCGATATCTAACTGGTGGCCTGCTGATCATTGCCAGTTGTATTGTATTATTAATCTTTCTATATTCAGGCTCGAGCCTCTACTTCTGTGACAATCTTGATTTTCAACATGTTGCGCCCTGAGTAAACCCAGTAGAACAGTCGTGCTGAAGAGCCATGTTCTTTAGCTTGTAGTCCGTGACCAGATGTCAGCGGGAATTTCATAGCGGTCCTCAGAAAGTTTCTCTGGGTCTTCCTCTGCCTCTTCACCTCTCCAACCTTCCTACTTGTCACGATGTACTCCAGTTTTCTCTGTCTCATTACATGACCAAAATATGTAAATTGTCTCTTTCTGATGTGGCTAATCAGTTCTCTTCGTGAGTCAGTTTCTTTCAATAAATCCTCATTATTCGTTTTATCACTTCAGGATATTCTCACTATCCATCTATAAAACCACATCTCTGCAGCTTCCAAATAATTTTCCACCAATTTACCAACTGTCCATGATTCACTTCCGTATATCAATATAGGATTAATATAGCTTTGACAATTGACAAAGGTAAGATTGCATAAAATAGTCCTCATTTAGTAAAATGCTGCCTTTGCTTGAGCTATTCGACATTTAACTTCTTTAATACATCTTCCATCTGACGTTACCCAACTACTTTAACATATAAACTTGCTGGCGGTTTGTCGACCTGACCTATCTGTAAAAAGTGTAAGTGTGAGAGCACAACTTTTTAAGCGCACTCTAGTTTTTGTTAAAAACTGTATTCTCATGCCAGACGCGCAACAAGTTAACACGAGCAGTACAAGCAGCGACATACTTTATCGAAGATGGACTAGACAACGGCGTGTTTCTCGGACTCGTCACCTTCTCTACAGTAGCCACAGTTGTGACGCCAATAACCGAGCTGACCAGCGAGGGCAGCAGAAGTGTCATCTCGCAGAAACTGCCTCGCACAACAGAGGGAAAGACTAGCATTGCTACAGGCTTACTGACGACCCTCCAGGTAGGTACAGACAGCACTGTTATCTTGTATCTACCTGTATATTATTTGCCTGTCTGTTATCCACAGTCTGATTAATTATATACATGTCTCTTATCTACCTGTCTATTTTTTTCTATGCAAAGTCTATTATCTA